ATTTACAGTTTGGCATACATGGCCTTAATTAGAGTGTGGGGTAGAGCGCTGCCTCAGAAGATGCGTTCCAGATGTGGGCTGGAATTCAGAGAGCTTTGTAAAGAAAAGAAACAGTGCTCTGCAGGAGATGCCTAAAGAAACTTGAGTCAGAGAAAAGTGTTGAAGGGGATTGACAGAGTTGAGATGGGGAGGGGGGTGCAAGTTTAAATATTCATGACTATGTCTATATGTCTTTAAAAGAATGTAGTCAATTTTTGTTCTGGCTGATTCTGTGCTTGTTTGATCTAATTGAGTGAGGGTTAGTATTACAGCACTGTCACCTGTGACGACCTGTGCCAAATGCATAAATGTAAAACAAAAAAAATGATTTTTGGTTAAAATTCACATGGAAAAGTATATTTGAAAACTACACATTAACTCTACAATTCAAGTACCGTTTGGGGTCGGTAAGACTTTTTAACGTTTTTTGAAAGAATGTCTAATGCTCAGCAAGGCTGCAATTTATTTGATCAAAAATGACAGTGTTATTGTGAAATTGTTGGTGTTACAATTTGAAATAACTGTTTTCTATTAGAATACATATTTTAAAATGCAATTTATTCCTGTGATGCATCATTACTCCAGTCTTCAGTGTCACATGATCCTTCAGAACTCATTCTCATATGCTGATTTGCTGCTCAAGAAACATTTCTTGTCAGTGTTGAAAACTGTTGTGCTGCTTCATATTTTTGTGGAAACCGTTATCCAAGTTTTGGCTCAGATTTTTGATTTTGTTAAAAAGAATTCTGAAGAAAGAAAGACAAACATTAAATAGCCTTGAAAGCCAAAATATTAAATGTAATGGTCCGGATGTATGTATTGACTGACTAATCCACCATTTGTCGAGGGGGTCAAAATTTAATTTTTTACAAGAGATGTGCATGGAGCCAAATTACAGGGGGTAAAAATGACCAAAAATATGGCAGCATCATATTTTTTTAAGATTGCTAGGTTTATCAGTTAAACCTGCTTAATTTAGCAATCTTTGTTGCATTTTATTCCAATGGTGAAAAAATGGGGGAAAAGCACTTCTTGTATCTTTTGTCCTAAGTTTGCATGCCTGTAACTCATGAAATATTAAAGATATCTCAGTATCCTTTTAGATTTTGTCTTTTAACAAACATTTATTTTGGTATCTTCATTTTCATTTCATTTAAAGGCCTGATATGGACACTTTGCACACAGCTAATTAATATGTTGGCTTTTTTCTTCATTTATGTATTTCTTTATGGATTATGAATGACCCTTTTTTCTTTAAAGAGTTCAAAGGAACAGCATTTTTCTGAAATAGACATTTTTTTGTAACATTATAAATGTCTTTACTGTCTCTTTTGATCAAATTAATTCATCCTTGCTGAATAAAGGTTATTAAAATCTTAATAACCCCAAACGCTTGAATGGTGGTGTAGTAATCTTAGATGCTGTAACAAGTTTCTCTTATCGTTTGGAATCACATTTTTTTCATTAACTAGCTCAATACTATTCCATGTAGTCTAATCAACTACTATGATCATGAAAAGGATGCATAATAATTAGCCTATTAAAGAATTGTAGCAATCATGACATGTCCTGTGGTGTGATTGCTATACATGACATGTCAGCGTTCCAAAAGTATTTAACTATCCAAATATGAAGAAGGCTGTAGAGGGAAGTCAAGGACGTTTGATAGAGAATGTGTTGCTGATTTTCAGACAACTGCAAACTATGACTGAATGAATGAATCTACTGATAATATGGGGAACCATATGCCTGAAACAAAATATGGGTTTCTTCAGCGGCAGTGCAAAAAGGTCTCAGGAAATACCAACATGGCTTTTTTTTTTCATAAGGAAAACTGACATTCCACCCAGCTTTGAGGAAGAGAACTGTTGGACATATGCCTGCAGTGCAACTCCATAGGCGTTCTGTTCACCATGTGTGTGAGGTAAAAATAAAGGGGTTTGACCAACATTACCGAGTGTGAACTTGATTTCTCTGGCTACCTATGTTGGTCTAAGCAGTTTAGTATGAAAGCCAGATCTTCACCCCCCAATACCGGAAGAAAATACTCTTTCGAAATCCAGCATTTGCCATTGTTTGTGTTTAAGAAAAGGAATCATCTGGCGGAAAGCTTTGTTTACACTTTTGCTGGATACTCCTACACGATTTGCCTGAGGGGGAAGGAAAATATTCAAAACCGGCAGCAAGGCGAAACATTTGTATGTAGTGAAGACGTATGGCTTGAGGTTGAGTGCACAACACATTTTCTAAAGAAAACAGGGTAAATGACAAATGTCCTGTCACTAAAATGTCCGGTCCCTTCCGTTAGAGTTGAATCTAGATTGACTAAATCCGTCATTTCCAGCCTGCTGAAGCTTGCTCTTTAAAAGTCATCTTTCTCCTAAAATAAACAAGAATTTCAGTTTACCTGCATGAACCAGCTAGCCTGGGAAAACCCAGACAACTTCCGGCAAATTTAGATTTGCTCTGAAAGTAAGTCTGGCAAAGAGCTCATTCAAGCCCATTTTCAATCCGTCGAAATCGAGGCACCAATCAGAAACGTTATGGCGGGCTTTACACGATAACGACAGCGCTGGGATTTTGAAGCAGATTTTGTAGCCTACATTACAAAGATGGATGCCGCCGTCGAACATCACTCGTTCGAATCAGCTATCGCGTCTGTTTTAAGCGATTTGAACGTTTCCTTTTAGTTAAAAACCGAGCAAAGAACAACACTCGGAGATGTTTCTCCGCCGCTCTGCATACGTCATCTCCTTCATCGCTCTGATTGGGTTTAGGTCTATCCGCGACGTCCGTTGGTGACGCCCCTCTGGAAATGATTTGTCTATGACGCTTTGCCAGACCATAACTCAGTTACAACTGAGAATGGTCTGGTTTTAACCAGGCTATGAACCAGCAACACTTTGGTAAACGTTTTAGCTAAGACATATAAAGCAGTAAGTGCTAAGTGTCCACTATTACACAGTACGCTCTTAAAAATAATGGTTCTGTTGGCATCGATGGTTTCATGAAGAACCTTTAATATTTATGGAATCTTTCCATTTCACACAAGATTCTTTATAGTTCTTCAGATTAATAAAATGTTCTTTACACTAAGAAAGTGGTTCTTTTCAGAACTGTTCACTGAAAGGAGAACCCAAAAATGGTTCTTCTATGGCATCACTGCGAATACCCTCTTTTGAAACCTTTATCTTTAACAGTGTAACTTGACGTAAGGGATAATGTACATCCAGCCGGTTGTTATCACAGAATAAACCCCGACAGGGTGATCAGGACCCCGACACGAATCAACACCCTGAACTGGATTTATTCTGCAATAACAACCGACTGGATACATAATCCCGCTTATTACATGGGTACGTACTTGCCACATAAGTGAATAATTAGACACGAAATATTGACTTTTTTATTAGTTCCCGCAAAGGAAGCTGTTGCTAGCAAGTGGCAAGTTCAAACTAGACGGACATTTAAGGGATACGGTACAGTCATACCACTTAAAGGAGAACTCCGGCGCAAAATGAACCTTTGGTCTAATAAAACATTGGTACCTAGTCAACCATTCTCTGAGATTTGTTTTCATGATAATCGAATGTAAAGAGTTTTATCTCTAAAAACTGTTTAGCGTATAACGCTAGTAATGAGGGCATATAATAAGTAAAAAGAAATCGCTAGTTAATACCACTAACAAGGCTCAAAATAGCCCCACACGAACACAGTAACATAATGAGGGTCCCTACATGCAAAACGAAGCATTGAGAACTTAGTAAGTGTACAGACCGTTTAATAAGAAGATAAAGATAAAGACAGTCCACTTCGTGTATACAGACAAGAGCCATCTTTGGAAAACAGTCTCGACTAATCAAACCACGAACGCCATTCATACAGTTCAGAAGTTCACTGAACTTCATACAGTTCAGCTCCCTTAGCACGTCGTTCGTGGTTTGACTAGTCGAGACTGTTTTCCAAAGATGGCTCCTGTCTGTATACACGAAGTGGACTGTCTTTATCTTTATCTTCTTATTAAACGGTCTGTACACTTACTAAGTTCTCAATGCTTCGTTTTGCATGTAGGGACCCTCATTATGTTACTGTGTTCGTGTGGGGCTATTTTGAGCCTTTGTTAGTGGTATAAACCGATTTCTTTTTACTTATTAAATGCCCCCATTACTAGCGTTATACGCCAAACAGTTTTTAGAGATAAAACTCTTTACATTCGATTATCATGAAAACAAATCTCAGAGAACGGTTGAGTAGGTACCAATGTTTTATTAGACCAAAGGTTCATTTTGCGCCGGAGTTCTCCTTTAATACACAGCATTTCGCTACATAAATAATTATGGGCATACGAGATATTAATTTGAGATTAAACTGTTTTAAAATCATACCTGTTTGTTATCTTATAATCCGTTACAATGTACAAAACAATCGTTGAAAAATGGCAGCAGCTGTGTTTGTATGAAACAAGAAACCGAGTCATCGATACCAAATAATTGTTCACTAAATAGGCCTATTGATTTGAGTTTTAATATTTTATAAGCTCACCAAACGCAAAACTTCAACGAAGAAAAAAACATTCCTAGCAAGCGTATAGCGCCAACTTAAGTTACCCGGATGACCCTGTGTTATCAGTTTTTACCGTTTTTTATCGGGGAATAACAAACCGCTGGATGGTGCGATTGACCAATCATAATCAAGTATCCATAGAGCCGTGTAATACATATTGGGTAAAAATGTTACTAATGATTTAATTTCAGACTGTGTTGGCCCTCAGCTGACTGGCTTTCCAACCCCCTTCGTGGGCCAGAGCCTCCCTCAGACACGAAGGTGGTATCTCTCTCCTCAGGGAGCTGCCTCATCTAATTATCAAATGACGCCTGGCCTGTCGGCAGTAAGCTGCTGGGCTGAGACAATAGTAGCTGATTCTCTGGATTAGGTGACGGGGGTTGGAGAGGGGCGGGAGGGGGAATCCGAGAGGAAGAGACAGAGAGCATGCTCAGTTCTGAGAGACTGGCTACTGGAGCACACATGTGCCTTCCCTGTGAAGGATACACATTCTCAGCCAGAAGCTCATGTGAAGATATGAGAAAGGAGATAGCCTATTGGTGATTTGACAAAACTGGCGTGAAAATACACTTTTGGAACTTGAACAGTTTCTTACAAAGGATGCATTAAGGAAACTCAGCTTTTGGGGTGAACTTTGACACCATGTCTCGACTTTACAGCTGCTTTGGGGACAGAAAGTAAGTTGGAGCCTTTTGTTTATATGAAAACTTAATATAAAATTAGTACTCGTGTAGTTTAAAAAGAGTGTGTGGTACTTATCTCTTGTTAGGGTGCTTGAGTTTGAGTTTTAGTCATGGTTGCATATTAAACTCTTTTAGTGTAATTGTTTTTTAGTGGAACACTGATGAACATGGTTGTGTTGATAATATGATTACAGACTCTACATGAAGTATTTTTTACTGTAAGGCTTCTGTTGTGCTCTCTGAGAATGTACTGTAATAGCTTCTTAGATGAACTCGCTCAATTAGAGTCTCTTTAAAAGCTCTTCTATCTAATGGTCTCATGACATGTCCAACAAGACCCTACTCATCACCACTGAGAGAACATGTTGTTTACCATTGGGTTTCGTCCAGATTCTTAGTTTGGAAAAGAGACTGTTTTGTGTACCATTCCTCTTCCCTGAATTAGCCATTTATTATTGTTTATTGTAGTCCACCCCCCCCAGAGACTATTAATGTACAATAAGAGAGTTTGGACCAGTTATTGAGACATAATGTTCCATATTTAGATATAAATGGCAAATGTGCCTTTGCAAAGAGACTGGGACTTTTTTTGTGTACTAGATCCAGCTTTATCCTTACATTCTGACCTACCTCCATTTTCACACCATTTATGGTCCTTGCGCTCCTGTGAGAGTGCTGCTTTGTTTGTATCTACACGGTGTATCTATTTGGCAAGGAACTTGAGCCATCTCATGAAATAAGAGTCCAAATGTTAATGTTCAGACCCCTTTTGTGTTGACCTCTGTGTTTTCTCTGAGCTTGTTGATGTTGAACCTACTCTTCCTAGTTTCTCTTTTCTTGTGCAGTTGATGAGGTTGTTGTTTTTAGCAGGCTTCTGCTATCTTTTAAGACATCTATTCTCAAAGAAGTCTCAAGTCAGTGAGAGACTGTTTTGTTAAAGTGTGAGCTAGTTAAATTTGCATATTGTGGAGAGTGGGGTAAGATGTGTCAGTGAGTACATCTTATTTTAAAAAAAAATTTAATCCTGATATTTTAGCTACTTATCATTTCTTTTTCACTAGCTTAAAGGAATAGTTCACTTCAAAATGAAAATGTGTCATCATTTACTCACCCTCAAGTTGTTTCAAACCTGTATGAATTTATTTCTTCTGCTGAACACAAAAGAAGATATTTTGAAGAATGTTGGAAACCAAACAGTTGATTTATCCCATTGACTTCCATAGTATTGTTTTCCAACTATGGAAATCAATGGGGTCCATCAACTGTTGTATCAAAAATTTCCAACACCACTCTTCTTTACTCTGTAAAACATTTCTGCTGTGGTTTGCTTATGGATTCTCTAATAATGAATCATCCAATATCAGATAGCTATAATGCGCTGCTCTTTCTCTACTGGTTTAGTTACAGCTAAAGGAGTTTTGTATTTTGTGGTTAAAGTTCAGAAGAACCACAAAAGTACAGATGGTTTTGTAGTATGTGTGGATTTATGCTGTCCCTGCTATGAGTTTTTAAACTATCAATCAATACCAGCAAAGGCCTTCCAAGCACAGCTCATTAAGTCCATGCAGTAATATTGCTTAAAATATCTTCCTGAATGGAAAAAACATCTTTTCAGATAATTCGGAGGTCGCTGAATGTTCTGTGTCTGTAATTTTAGGGTACTTTAAATATACAGCTCTTTTAAATTTTAGGGTACTTTAAATATACAGCATTTTTATTTGCGTAAAGCTCCCACATTTTGTGTAAGATGTGCGTATCATACTTAAAGTCTGTCTATGTAAAACTTCAGTGGTGTACATTTACCAGAAACTATAAAAACACTATGTACAAACTCATCTTTTGGAAGTCTAATGTGATTACGAATGGTTTGCTTCCTATTCATGAGGAACTAATTTAATTTAAACCACTAATTTTGCTAGATGTTAGAATCTAACCAAAAATAATTTACTCATCAGTAGTACTGTAATGATGGTGTGGTGGCTGTTTAAAAGCTAAATAGCATGGTAAACTATATGAGAAAATAAAATGAAAATCACAGAAGATTGCTTTCATTTTGCTCCTGCCCTATTACAAAACTGCCAGGAAATAGAATTAGACCTCATTGTTAAGTGAGCCAAATGTTTTTAGCCCAGTAAATGTTTTAGGATGTTCTTTCTCTTCAAATATAAGTTAAGGAATGAGATGGGGATGGTCACCACTTTAGCTAATGTTGTCAACTGATTGAGCCAAATGGTGACTGCAACTGGTTTCATAAACTCATTAGTGTAGTTTACTCCAGGTTTCTCTCTGCTTAAAGGTGCTGTATGTAATTTTTTGTATGTTTGCAGATATTTAGGAAACATGCTAAGTTCACAAACTTGTTTCTCTGAAAAAACAACACTACAGCCAGTTATGTCGCTTTTCCACTGCATGGTACGGCTCAGTCCGGTTCGGCTCGCCTTTCTTTTCCACTGCGTGGTACCACTTGGCTCGGCACTGCACAGATCGGTTTGCTTTTCCACTGCAGTTAGTACCGCTTCAAAGTGGGTGGGATTATAAACTGATCGTTATAGTTTATCCGCTCCTCGGCAACCAACAAGAGGAACGTCTGCACTTCGTCCACTGACCACGATTCAGCCATTTCTTTTTTGGAAGTTTTTTTTCTTTCTTTTTTCTTGCAAGCAAGTCAAGCAAGTAGTTTTAAAACAGGTGCTACAGCGGTGGCTGTTACTGGCTATTTATATCTAGCGGGTTTGATGTCTCGCAAATACACTGACGCTGGTAGTGACGATTCTGTGTGACCAATCAGTGATCTGCTGTGTTTTCATGTCAGATTTTAGTATCGGTACGGTACGGTTGTAACCTCAACAGAGGTGGTACCATTTAAAGCGAGCCGAAGCGAACCGTACCGTACCTTACCATGCAGTGGAAAAGCGGCAAAGCGTGCCATACCTAACCGTCTCATACCGTACCATGCAGTGGAAAAGCGCCAAAGCGTGCAATACCGTACCATGCCGTGGAAAAGCGCCAAAGCGTGCCATACCTAACCGTGCCATACCGTACCATGCAGTGGAAAAGCACCAAAGCGTGCCATACCTAACCGTGCCATACCATACCATGCAGTGGAAAAGCGCCATAAATCTACTTTGAAAGTTCCATTTCTGTTTTTGTTTTGGTCTGCGTGATCCCGCCCACTGCCCGTTTACCCAATAGTATTAGTATTTCCCAATAGTATTAGTATTTCCCAATAGTATTAGTATTTCCCAATAGTATTAGTATTTCCCAATAGTAATAGTTGGCGGAAAACACAGCGTATTGCAGCCATGGAAGCCAGCGAACAAAATCGCAGATTCTACCCGACCTAAAAAGCCTCGGCATCCATCTGAAAATCTCCATCAATGGAAGCATATTAAAACGAGGATGAATCAACTCATCGACTTACACTGTGTAAGTCTCCTCGCCTTCAATTGTCAATCCTGCTTGCTCCTGTTGCATATCCTTGGGTCTAATCCGGTATTGCATAAGATGACTGATCGTCAGGATGTTGAATGACGAGGACTGGCATTTAAATAACTTAACTGATCAACTTCTGATAAACTGATCTGACACAAATAATAAAATGTAATTATATAATGTAATAGAACAATTCAGAACAATTCAAATCAGAACAATTCAAATCAGAACATATTTTCACAAAATTAGGTAGCCTTATAGGCTTAATATTGTGTGAAGTTGTGAACACACCCTTAATATTGATTGTTTATCTGTTAGCCTTATAATGGAAATAATTATTGACCTGTATGTATGTATTTTCCTGAATTGTATTATTGGTGCATACTTACACAAAATTGGTACATTTTACCATTAGTTTACACAATACTTGCTAAATTCACACACAAAATAAAAAGGTTGACAACAGAAAATGTGCTCTTATATGCACACACACCCTGTCAGTTTGGAGCTGACACAAGATGGAATTACCACATTTGTTATTAATCCACAATGGCACAGTTATTGGCTTGTGCCAATACTCTCCAAATAGCCAAATATCAGCCTAGACTAAATATCAGTCTTTCACTAGGTCCATGGTAGTTTCATAGTCTTGATTATTCCTCAAACTTTCCTACTGGCGTAATTCACACTGTGCATTTCAACTATTTTGTTTAACAAAAGCAAGTTTTGCATATGCGCATATAAATATTTACAGTCTCCTGTCTGTGATAACGCTCAAAATGTTTGATGCTAACATAGCATGCTTGCTAATATCTTCTGCTTGAACGCTTCTCTCCACTAACTCTCATTATTTCTTTCTCTCTCTCTCTCTTATTCCTCCATTCCTCCCCCCTGTCCAAAAGTTAAGACATGAAACGTCGGACGTCATCACAGAACTCTGGCGTTGGAGGCAGTCCAAGGTCAGTCCATTAGTCCCTGTAAAGCTCTGAACGACATCTCTGCTATCATAATCACGCACTGGCCAATGATAAGGACTTTTTAGTCAGAAGAGACTCTTGCAAGAGGTCAGTTTGGTTTGCTTGTGTAAATTATTTAATCATTTACACATCCTCATGTAATTCCAAAACAGAAGGACTTTCTTTCATCCTTGGAACGCAAAAGAAGATGCTTTGCATCCAGGCTGCTCTTTTCTAGTGGCAGTCAGTCTGCATAAATCATAAAACTATACAATAGATTTTCAGATTTCATACAATAGCTCCATGTAACAGGGCCACAGACTTTCCGATGCAACTAAATTATTTTAGAGGTCGCACTGGTGCCACCACCACGTTGCCCAACTTATAAGAACTGGCATTTCTGTTGCATATGAAAAACATCACATGGCAAATGAAACGAAAGCAGAATGAAACCACACTTCTTGTTTGAGCTGCGTTGCACGGACTGTTTATCAGCTCAGACCAGCGCTGAACATTCAGGCACTGAATTCAGGCACTTTTTTCAAGGACTTTCAAGTGCTTCTCACTTTTTCCAACACTTCAAAGCTCTAAATCTTATACAAATTAAATGTTATATAGTAAAATTATAAATTTATATAATTAGTTAATAATGCGCTACCAAATCAGGTGCTGGTGCCACCATCTGTAGAACTTGTGGCACCGGTCCTACTGCTCTCAGATGTTAGTCTGGAGCCCTGATGTAAGGAACAAATTGAAATTTAAGTCATTATATATGCTAAAAACAGAACAAATTGAGATTTGAAATGCTGAAAACCTTCCCACCAGCTGCAGCTCTAAAATGTCTTTCAAAATTGTACGGACAAGGGTGATTAAAGGTGTGGTCACATTAGTGAAATTGGTAACACTTTACAATAAGGTTTCATTAGTTAACGTTAGTTAATGTAATAACTAACATGAACTAACAATGAACAAAACATTTGTTACCGTATTTATTAATCTTTGTTAATGTTAGTTAATAAAATACAGTCATTCATTGTTTGTTAATTTTAGTTCACGGTGCATTAACTAATATCAGCAAATACTTTTGATTTTAATAATGCATTAGCAAATGTTCAAATTAACATAAATTTAGATTAATTACCGCTGCAGAAGTGCAGTTCATTTTTAATTCATGTTAACTAAAGTAGTTAACTATTGAAACCTTATTGTAAAGTGTTTTGGCAAAGTTTTGTGAAATTTCATGGGTAAAAAAAAAATGGCACAAAAGTCATTGTTACCCCAACCTCTCTGTTGGTCAACAAAGTGATAACCCTTTCGAAAGGGAACTCGCACTGCGTCGATGACGCTATTGGGAACGCCCTCCACGTGAACCGGTGTATGAAAAACTATCCAATCACGGCAATCGATATTGACCGGCGGCTTATGACGTCACTACTAGTGCGACCCGGAAGTATAAAAGGACCATGTCATCCTCTTTTCGTCTTCAGAGACTGTTTTGTCTGATTTGCTATCACCTGAAAAAGGTCTCGTCTGGCCCTCTTCTCGAGGGAAGAGGGACAGACATCTGTGCCAGGCGATTCAGGTCCCACTCGCGCTGAGGCAAAGCAGAGACTAGAATCGAGGGGTTTCAGAGGGAGCTCGCCGAGGAGTTTGAGAGATTTGTTTATCTCTCACGCCCATCGGAGGCTTGAGAGTTTGAGCTGCCGCATGAGGATGTGTTTTCACAAACATCCTCTGATCGGACAGCGAGTGCTCTGCTGGCAGCCCAAGAAAGCAGGAGATGGCTGATGAGAGTGAAGAGGATTTACTACCCGAACCCTCACAACCACTCTGCCCCGCGTATGATGAGTTTTGAGTGTTATGGAATGCGCTTAGCAAGGGTTTGCTGCCGTAGGAGCGCACGAGGGAAGAGACCGCTCGTGACAGACTTTACGAATGGTTTCTTTCCAGCCATAATGCTCCAGCTCCCGTGAGCCTTCCATTCCTGCCCGATATATACAATAGATCGAAAAGGCATGAAAGAACCCGTGTTCAGAGCGCATCCATGGCCATCAGCAAGCAAACTACGCTGATATTGAGGGGATGCGCGAACACGGGTATGTGTCGATGCTTCAATTGACGAGAGGTTCGTAAACTATCTCGAGGTTGGAGAGGCATCGACACTAAGTGCTCTGGTCCTGCCTTTTAATCAAACATCACGCTTAAACGGCAAGGCATACGTGACGGCGGGTCTGGCTGGTGATGCCTTGCACACAATGGCTGTGTTGCAAGCATACCACGCTGATCTGCTGAAAGATTTGGACCAAGACCGGGGTCTTTCCCCTGACGCAGTGAGAATGAGCTGCGCCGCACTACAGATTTGCTCTCCCGGCCAGCATACAAACAGCCGCCGCGATCGGACGAACTCGATGGCGGCGATGGTGGCTAGGGAAAGGCATCTGTGGTTGAACTTGAATGACATTGGGGAGAAAGAAAGCTTTTCTTCTCAATGCACCAGTGTCGCCTTCTGAACTTTTCGGCACCTCCGTTGAGACGATGATGGGAAAGTTCAGAGAGGTGAAGGCGCGCTCGGCTGCATTAAATTTTGCATAACACTGCGGTCCGAATCTGTACACTTCCTACACCCCAGGCGCTTCTGGCATCAGCCCTGAGGCTGGACCTGTGATGAGTGATTCCTTCAATTTGGAAGCCTTCTGTAGGTCTGGCGTCGGGTTTGGTAGTAAGAGCGCTCTTTCGAGCTCTTTATGGTGATAGGACTCTGTAGGTCTAGCTGTATGTTGAGCTCTGTAGGTCTCCTCCCTTTACGAAAGTTTTAGTAAGGTTGTACAGTAGACCTTGGTTCCCTGTTAGAAAGTATTAAGGGGTGTGTTAGGTAGGGTTTTTATAGGAGTAAAAATAGAGCCCAGGGGCCTTATTCACAAAGAATTTTATCTTACCACTAGGAGTACTCCTAAATCGCACTAAAATATTTTAGCTAGGAGTTTTCTCTTAAAAGTTATTCACAGCGCCTTTCAGACCTACTCTTAGTAAGGAAAAATGACAACTCCTAAACTAAGAGTGAGTCTTCGTTGCTATGGATGACGTCACTTCTCAGGCACGAGCTTCCTCGCAATGATCACGGTGGTTGGTTGTTAGATGACAGGGCCATCATGCGGATCACAACACAGACGCAACAAATCATGGAATTACGACATCTAAATATGTCTGTGTCCTACACAAAATAATAATAGTAATGTCATCGAAATGCATATATAATGACATGTTTGTGCAGGCCCCAGTGAAGTGTAATTCTAAAAAGGCAGAGAGAGAGAAAAGTCGTGAATTAAAATAAATTAAATCAAGGTAGCCTAATACCCTAATGAAAACCTCCACTTGCCTAATAATGAAAAACAACACTTGCATTAACACTTGCTTGGTTAATTGACATCCTATTAGCCTAAATAGACTACTTAAAGCAAGGAAATGTTGCTCTTATTGAAGTAATGTAATAGTTGAATGACAGTGGATTATGAAGTCGCCAAAACGTAAAAGAAAGCCCAACTGGACGCAGGATCAGTTACTGCTGCTGGCCGAGTTGGTGCTGAAAAAGAAAAAAAACATAATAAAAGTGAAATTCGGCACTGGGATATCAAGCAAAACTAAGCGTGAGAATGGGAGATGATTTGTTTGCAGATCAATGCAGCATTCCCGCTTGTGTCGCGGACCCCGGACGACTGCGAGAGGCGGTGGTGTGCGCTACGATCCTTTGTGAATAGGTCTTAGTGAGTTAGGAGTCCTCTCGACTTCTTTTAAGCTGTCCCAGACTTAGGTGCTACTTTTAGGGCTAAAATGCTTCGTGAATTACTCTTAGTGAAAAAAATTAGGAGTCCTAAATTTAGGAGTGACACGCCCATTATTTTTAGGAGTTGCTCCTAAATTCACCAGTTAGGAGCTACTTTTAGCCTTAAAATTCTTTGTGAATACGGCCCCTGAAGTTCCCATATATAGGTAGGCTATGCATACCCTTCCCATAGGCCTCCTCTGATTAGAGTTGTCAGGCTTATATAGTGGGTAGTGCCAATCTGTGGTAGTGAACAGGTTGGCCGTATTATACAAAATAAATTCTAGTCAGGCCACCGTTCATCCGAGCATCAAACAGACATTTCTGCGTGAGATGGCTTTCTCCCTATCGGGAGTTTTTCTACTGAGGCCACCGCTCTGTCAAGCTATGGGATAAAACTACAGAATCAAGCGTTGGCACTTGTCAGGCCACCTTGATAGCCACCTTATACTAGAGCAGTAGTTCTCCTCTTACTTTTGAGAGTCGTTTTGAGATTATAGCTCTGAATTTCAGACATAATATTCGTTATCTGGCTTAGGTTTAGTATCTAGGATTTTTGGTGGCGGTCTGCTAAATATTCTCGAGTGTAGGTTCCTTAGACCATCAGGAGATTTTATTCCTGTAAATCTAGTTTATCCTAGTACTAGCCTCTTACTCGAGTCGTCTGCCAAGGCCTGCCTTTTGCATTAGGTGTAAATACTAGTGGTGTAACAGGGTAGATAGCAGCATAGGTAGCAGGCTACCTTTAAAAAGCCTCCCATGCAGATATCTATGGGCGTTGTCAGGTCTTTCTCTGTAGAGAGTAAGAAGCAGTGGGCTCAGGCCTTCACCCTTCACAGCATCGAGTGTGGTTGCTGGCAGCAAGGCCTTAAGTTAAAAAAAGATTTTTCTTCTGAGCCCCTTGAATATAAGAATTCAAGTAATAAGGTTGAATGTCGTTGGCCACTTACTGAGGCCTCCATTCCCTTGGGTTTAGTAGAGAAATATAATATCTGTCTTGTAAAATTACAAGATAATAGGCCTCGAACCCTGATACATCCTTCAGGGTCATGCTGATATTGCTCCCCTTGTTAGGTTCATTAATTAGAGCAATTTTCTACCCATAGCTTGTATGTTATCACCCTTTACCAGCCAGGCTCAGGTAGAGACAGATTAGTGACTCCCTTCCACTTGGGATGGTTTA